CCCCCCCCCCCCCACTCCCTCCTCAGTTACTTCGTTAAAAGCTTTTCTCTTTCGAAGTTTATCAAATAACCAGAACTTCCGAAAAAAGAAGCAAGATTCTGGTGCACGGGTTGCTGGGAATATTTCGAAATATAACATGTGTCGCTTGCTTGTGTTTTAGAATCTAAGAAATGTGATTTATAATTTTAGGATCTAAGAAATGTGATTTATAATTTTTAGGATCTAAGAAATGTGATTTATAATTTTTAGGATCTAAGAAATGTGATTTATAATTTTTAGGATCTAAGAAATGTGATTTATAATTTTTAGGATCTAAGAAATGTGATTTATAATTTTTAGGATCTAAGAAATGTGATTTATAATTTTTAGGATCTAAGAAATGTGATTTATAATTTTTAGGATCTAAGAAATGTGATTTATAATTTTAGGATCTAAGAAATGTGATTTATAATTTTAGGATCTAAGAAATGTGATTTATAATTTCTATTTTTTCACGTGACTGATAAATGGATTTTGCATCCACGTTGATTTTGACAACATCATAACATTTTTTTTAAATTAACCAAGATTAACTTATATGCCACACAGTCAGTGGCTCAGCGGGAAGTCTGCAGGCTTATAACGATAAAATTCGGTTTTCGATACCCGTGGTAGGCAGAGCACAGATAACCCATTTGGAATCTTCCCGCATATCAGCAAACAAACCAAATGATATATATATATATTTAATCGTTACAAACACAAAGAATTGTCTATAAAACGTAAATTAGAAAAAAAAGTATAATATTAGATAAAAAGTAAATTACTAAACGCATTAGCCCAAACAGTTGTTTACTTTCTGTCTTGTTTTATGTTCCACCAAACATGCCAATATTTTAATTATTTTTTCCAGCTCACTGCTTTAGGTGGATTTATACTGCTGTTTGGATTCCTGGCCTTCAATGGCGGATCACAGGGCCACATTACACACCAAGGAGACGCTGGTGCTATAGCTAGTGTGGTGGCCAACACTATCATTGGTGGAACTTTCGGCGGATTAGTTAATTTGACTATCTATAGACTAGGTGCTTTTGGTAAACCCCGACAATGGAGTCTACTGTTTTCCCTTAACGGTGCATTAGCTGGTATGGTAAGTATTAATAAGACGTAGGGGGTGGAAAGTAGGAGTATCCAATAAATATTTCGGTAAGAATACTCGGTATGAAGTTTAAGGCTACAAGAGCTGGCGGGTTTAAGTACAAACCTTAGCACCGATATAAGAAAAAGGGAATTACCTAAACCTTATTCGTTAAAAATCGGCTTTGGATTGTCAATCAAACGTCTCTCTCTTCAGTTCTCAACTGCACTTTATTCTTAGCTTTCTCACTATGGTAAAACTGATTTTGCCAAATGACTAGCCGCTTAGTATTGAAGGGCAATTAAGAATTCAAGAGAATCTTGTAGTTGACAGTCGAAAACTGGCTTTTAATCCAACTTACGATTTTATACTCACTCAGCCTTAGCGCTATAGTAAAATTGTAACTTACTAATGCTCTGTTTTTACAACTTTAGATATTAATGCTTTATTTATTGAAACTTATTTACGCCTCATTCTTTCAAATTTAGTAAGAAGTTAAATCGCCCCCTAGTGGCACAACGGTATGTCTGCGGAATTATACTGCTAGAAACCGGGTTTCGATACCCGTGATGGGCAAAGCACAGATAGCCCTTTGTGAAGCTTTGTGTTTAATAACAAATAACCAAAACTAAGTTCAATCATAATTTTATTTACGCTTCGCTCGTGCCATCATAGTGCTATGTAAAACTACTGTTTATCTACGTTAGGGGATGAATGTTGCCCAGTGGTTAGCCTGCTGGACTAAGGATCTTGCTTCTCATTACCGCCAAATAATAAAATCGCGCTTTGCACTTTGGGATCGTGGGTCCGTTATAAGGGTGACAGTCAAACCCAACTATTCGCTCAGACAAGAGTATGCGGTAGATGCTGTTGACTGCCATCCCAGATAGCTCTTGTGTAGCTTTGCGCGATTTTTTGGAAACGAACAAGAAAACAACTGTTTGAGTAGATTTGTTAACAAGATAGAAATTTGATTTATCAACGCTCCCGTTATATAGGTCTGGAATTTCTTGACCTGCTGGTTTCGTCTCGTATAGGCTTGGCATGGCCTAATGATTAGGGCTATCGTCTCACAGTCAGTGGGTCGCGGGTTTGTATCCCCGTCACCAAACATGCTCGCCCTTTCCAGTCGTGAGGGCATTATAATGAGACGGTCAATCGCACTATTCATTGCTAACGGAGTTACTCAACAGTTGGCGGAGGGTGTTATTGACTAGCTGCCTTTCCTCTAGTCTTTCACTGCTAAAGTAGAGACGGCTAACACAGATAGCCCTCGTGTAGCTTTGCGCGAAATTCAAACCAAATCAAATCTCGTGTGTTGAACTTTGTATATTTTAGGTTTGTGTTTATGTTTTGTTACCTCATTTCTTTATATGTTCATCAAATGTATACCCTTCTTATGTTGATGTCCTTCCTATCTTGGAACATTTCTACACAGTTCGGATGTCACTTACAGATAGCACTTGCTACAATCCTTAAGTACACGTTAGGAGTTAAAATGTAACACAATACTTCTCACGTGCTTTGTTTCACGTTCTTTTTCCCTACGATATTAAGCCTTAAAGCTATGGTTTTAAGCTCTGAAGATGGTAAAACGTCGGGATCCACTACGTCTCTACATTTTTTTTAAATCAGAGGTGTGTGGAAATAACTATTTTTTTTTTTTTTGTATTTTATTAGTCAATGTCCAGATGGTCTTTCTTTCAATTCCAGAACTCGCTATCCGAGCTGGACGATGACTGAAATCCGTAATGAGCAAATTTATAGGAATAAAAAAAAACACGAATAAAAATTAGCAGTTTTATCTCTGATTTTCCAGTCCATATAAATAGTTTTGGTATTAAACGAAAGGCCTCTGGGGCAGTGAGTCGTGGACATAAAAAAAGAGAGACCAGTCTTGCCAGAGTTGATACTGAAGATATCAATCTGTAATATAACACAAGCACAAAGATGACCAGAAACATACCCATATACCTGGTGGCTTCGTGTTCGTGTTCTAAAGTTAATGTTCAATAATTAAGGTAATAATCTAATTGGGTCTCGTGTACAAGTTACTTCGTGTTAGGTTTATGATCTTGTTCATTCTCGTACAATTACCACGTTTATATGGACTTTGTATACGTGTTAGACTTATGATCTTGTTCATTCTTGTACAGTTACCACGTATATATGGACTTTGTGTACGTGTTAGGCTTATGATCTTGTTCATTCTCGTACAGTTACCACGTATATATGGACTTTGTATTCGTGTTAGGCTAATGATCTTGTTCATTCTTGTACAGTTACCACGTTTATATGGACTTTTTACACGTGTTAGACTTATGATGTTGTTCATTCTCGTACAGTTACCACGTTTATATGGACTTTGTATTCGTGTTAGGCTTATGATCGTGTTCATTCTTGTACAGTTACCACGTTTATATGGACTTTGTATACGTGTTAGACTTATGATGTTGTTCTTTCTTGTACAGTTACCACGTTTATATGGACTTTGTATACGTGTTAGACTTATGATGTTGTTCATTCTCGTACAGTTACCACGTATATATATGGATTTTGTATACGTGTTAGACTTATGATCGTGTTCATTCTCGTACAGTTACCACGTTTATATGGACTTTGTATACGTGTTAGACTTATGATGTTGTTCTTTCTTGTACAGTTACCACGTTTATATGGACTTTGTATACGTGTTAGACTTATGATGTTGTTCATTCTCGTACAGTTACCACGTTTATATGGACTTTGTATTCGTTTTAGGCTTGTTATTATTATTATGTTTTTTTTCTTGAGTTGTTGCGTGTGATAGAGTATTGCGTGCTAGCGAGTTTTTCCATGCTGCTGATTTTGAATAACAAGCAACTGTCACTTGTGCTGATGAGAACTTGGCTATTTACCAAACTTCTATCTTGTAGTACTAACCTGTTAGCCTTTGTAATGGCCGTGTTTATGGGCAGAACATTTGCAATAATTATGTACAATAGATTTTGTACCAGTTTCTAATAGGACTCTGTTAAAGCTGTAACTTATGATTAAGTTTTAGAAATAGGGAAGAGTAGTCATGTGTTTCAAACAGAAAAACAACAACATTTACTTAAACTTCATGTTAGCTAGAGAAATACAAAAATACCGGTTTTTAAATAACATATAAAATGTAAGGTTCACGTTACAATACTTGAATACTTTCCTCTGTCGTGGGATAGAACTTATAATAACGTATAATGATGTAATCTGATATCTGCATTCGTGTACCACTTGGTTGAAATAGTTTATTTTGTTACCAATATTTGTATATTCGTATATGTAATGGCTTCAAGAATGACCAATATCTGACGGTTGAACAATGATAAAATCGGTATATTCCTGATCAAGAATAAACGTTTATCAGTACAGATGCATACGACAGCGGCTGTATTGGAATTGTAAGTGTTACAAACGCGGAAGAGTTGAAAAGTTAATTAATATTTTACACCAGTGACAATTACCAATTAGTTTATATTTCTAATAGTAATATGCTGCCACCTGTAGTGGAGTTCTGAGAATGATTTTATATACTGGAAGGAGCTAGATTTCGGTCCTGGTTTTCTTGGTTGATAGGTTAATTTATTCGATTGACCGTTACTCTTAAGAAGTGAATAATACATCTGCCTTTCTAATAATATAGGCCCGGCATGGCCAGGTGATTAGGGCGCTCGACTCGCAATCTGTAGGTCGCGGGTTCGAATCCCCGTCCCACCAAACATGTTCGCCCCTTTCAGCCGTGGGGGGCGTTATAATGTGACGGTCAATCCCACTATTCGTTGGTAAAAGAGTAGCTCAAGAGTTGGTGGTGTGTGGTGATGACTAGCTGCCTTCCCTCTAGTCTTACACTGCTAAATTAGGGACGGCTAGCGCTGATAGCTTTGCGCGAAATCCATAACAAACTATTGACGAGGTGTTGTCAGGTTTTAAGAACCTTTCCTACACAGGATGGTACAGGCCAATCAGAGTCTTGATTTGATGACATTAAGATAACAACAAATACCGCAACAATACCACCGAATAACAGTGGTCATAAACTCCTAGAAACAGATACCTTACAACTTCTGTATTTTCATTTATATATAATGATAGGCTTAGTAAGTTCTCTAGGACTTTGGTTCAAAAAACAGTAACAGATGCTGAGCACTACAAAGACAGGATTCTGCACCCAAATCAAAACAGAGAAGAACAGAAATTTTTTGCTTGGAAAATAGTGTGCTTAGTTTAACTCTATCCAAACCAATGATCACCTTGTAAGTGTCGAGAGCGGATCATTAGTTTAAGTTTTAGAAATGAAATTTTACAATGAAGGAAAAAGCGTTCAAACTTACATTATGAACAGTTTATTTATCTTAGCACTGTGTTGCCTATCCCAAAGCATAGGTCACAGCTTATTTATCATAGCACTGTCTTGCCTATCACAAAGCATAGGTCACAGCTTATTTATCATAGCACTGTGTTGCCTATCCCAAAGCAAAAGTCACAGCTTATTTATCATAGCACTGTGTTGCCTATCCCAAAGCAAAAGTCACAGCTTATTTATCATAGCACTGTGTTGCCCATCACAAAGCATAGGTCACAGCTTATTTATCATAGCACTGTGTTGTCTATCCCAAAGTATAGGTCACAGCTTATTTATCATAGCACTGTGTTGCCCATCACAAAGCATAGTTTTTTTATTTAAAACCACCATCCTTTAAAAATAATGTTTCTCAACCGGAGTGCCTCGAGATTTTAGCGAAATGTTGGAAAAAAAATAAGTTAATTGTTACATCACATATTTGAAAAGTTTTTTATGTGTACTAAACGAAAAATGAAGGTTGCCAAGTTTCATTTCATCCGGAACCTATTGGGGGTATCTCTATGACCCCCCTCCTTGGCTACGCCACTCTTAACTAAGCTGTAAAACGTAAGGGGGGGGGGTGCCGTGGAAATTGTAGATTATGTGTAGAGAAACACTGTTTTAGAATATACCTCTCAAGGTTTGATTTCTCACGTGATTTTCTCAGAAGGTTTACAGACTTACAACGCTAAAACCCGGGGTTCGATTCCCTACAATGCTGCTTTGCTCTATTACAAATAAACAAACTTTCATTAATATAGCCTCTTGTCTCTAACCTTTCAAAGGTGTGATATGAACAACTAAGAACGAAGCTATGTAAACTTTAGACATGATTGCATATTTACGTCAATATAGAATGAATAATTTGGTGTGGGAAAAAATTTATAGTTTTGTGGGAACAACAAAATTTAATGGGAAGGTTAGAAGATGTAGGGACAAACCACGGGTCTGGGATCTCTCAAATAGGGACAAACCACAGGTCTGGGATCTCTCAAATAGGGACAAACCACAAGTCTGGGGATTTCTCAAATAGGAACAAACCACAAGTCTGGGATCTCTCAAATAGGAACAAACCACAGGTCTGGGATCTCTCAAATAGGAACAAACCACAGGTCTGGGATCTCTCAAATAGGAACAAACCGCAGGTCTGGGATCTCTCAAATAGGAACAAACCACAGGTCTGGCATCTCTCAAATAGGGACAAATCACAAGTCTGGGATATCTCAAATAGGGACAAACCACAGGTCTGGCATCTCTCAAATAGGGACAAATCACAAGTCTAGGATATCTCAAATAGGGACAAATCACAGGTCTGGGATATCTTAAATAGGGACAAACCACAGGTCTGGGATTTCTCAAAAGGTCTTTGTTCTAGATATTTCATCTTCTATGTTTTATGTATAACTGTGCCTCACTTACTGATCTTTCAGTCTTTGTCTGGCCCTATTTTTTATTGTTCTTTCTTTGCTCAAAAAGGGTTGAAGCAACTTACTTACCCTCCTTAGGCCTGTTAAAAAAACTTCGATCTGGGCACCTTCTTGTCTAAACTTCGACGTTGTGCACAATGAACTCTAATAAATTTCCAGGCAAGCGTCAGTTCTCACCATCCAAAGACATGTTGATCCAGAGCTCCACCTTGGTGATGCACCAGCTTCTGTGGTGAAAGAAACAAAATTCTTGGAACTAACTCTCGACAACAAGCTAACTTTCATTTCCCACATTCAGCAGATCCATCGTTTGACCTGATGGTTAGGGTACTGGACTTGAGGACTCAAATCTTGTCTCCAACATTCTCGCCCTTTCATCTGCAGGAGACGTTAAAATGTGACATCAATCGCACTAATTGTCGGTAAAGAGTAGCCCAGGAGTTGACTAGCTGCCTTCCTTCTAGTGAATCACTTCCAAATTAGGGATGGCTAGTACAGATAACCCTCGTGAATCCTTTCATGAAATTCTAAACAAACTATCGTTTGAAGAGAGTATGTGGGTAGATCCATCATAACTTAGTTCATTCAAAGCTGGACTCCTAACCTATGGTCTATGCTTTCCGCATTAACAGTGTTTAAATACTTGGGCTTTTTCCACTCTCCAACCCAGAGTTTTTACACATGGACATTTGAATCTCCACTCTGTAACTTGGACACACAGTTAAACTGGCAAGAAGTTGAAAATCTAAGTATCTCATCTCACTTGACGTTCTGCTTTTGTGTTTTGTGAATTGATGCTTTGGCTTTCCTTAATTTGGCCAACATAATATATCAATATAGTTTGAGTTATTTTGAGTCTAATGTTCAGCTTTCCTTAATTTTGTGAATTGATGCTTTGGCTTTCCTTAATTTGGCCAACATAATATATCAATATAGTTTGAGTCATTTTGAGTCTAATGTTCAGCCCATCTCATCTGTGACTTATCCTTGAGTTGCCCTAAGAAATCAAATATCCCTCATTGGAGGTACTGACCTCCTTTTGAATATCACCAATCATGATATCCATCCATCTGACCCATGTTTACAAATGGATCCAAACAATTTGACTCTGTTGGATTAGCTTTGGTTGGCTAGAACCTGTAGCCATTTTACTCTGTTGGTTTGTCTTTAGTCGGCTACATTCTATAGCTATTTTACGCTGTTCATTTGTCTTTGGTTGGCTACATCCTATAGCTATTTTATGCTGTTGGTTTGTCTTTAGTCGGCTACATTCTATAGCTATTTTACTCTGTTGGTTTGGTTTTGGATGGCTAGATCAAATAGCTATTTTACTCTGTTAGTTTGGTTTTGGATGGCTAGATCAAATAGCTATTTTACTCTGTTAGTTTGGTTTTGGATGGCTAGATCCTATAGCTATTTTACTGTGTTAGTTTGGTTTTGGATGGCTAGATCCAATAGCTATTTTACTCTGTTAGTTTGGTTTTGGATGGCTAGATCCTATAGCTATTTTCTCTGTTAGTTTGGTTTTGGATGGCTAGATCCTATAGCTATTTTCTCTGTTAGTTTGGTTTTGGATGGCTAGATCCTATAGCT